TTGAAGTTCGATTTCTCCATCGTTCTTTGGTTTCTTTTGAATAGTGGGGCGAGTGTCATTCTATTAAAATTATAGTCCTTGATAACTTCCTCTCTTTGTTTTCATGCATTTCTTTTAATAACTCGCTTATACTTGTTAAATTAACTTATTAAGACGCTAAAAAAATATCACGAGTATTTTCTAATATTAGTAAATCATTAAAAAATTTAGTATGCAGGAAAATGTGATAAATTTGCTCATCACATCTTGGTGTGTGAGTCGAATCGAATCTAAATTAAATTAGATAAAAAATAATAAAAATTATTAAAAGATTCAATTACTACAATATTATATTTATGTTAACAAAGTAAAAAAAAAAAAAAGGAACTTTACAAACATAAAACAAAAACTTTTAATTATAAAAGTTTACATGAATTGACTTGATTGATAGAAGATCATTTTATAAAAAATTATAAGTATATCATCATATTTAGTGTAAGTAAAAATATTGAGTATTAATTAAAGAGAAATAAAATATTATTTTTAATTGAATAACTCATTAACAAGAAAAAAATATTGATTTGTATGGAAGTTCAAAAGACATGATCAGTTACAAAACAAAACAAAAAAAGAATAATAGCATGCATAAATACCACTTCATTTTCAATAATAAAGACTCAAAATTTATAGCATAAAATAATTTATTTCTTTTATGACATACTTTTTTTTGTTTGTTTTTTTTTTTATGTTGTTATTTTCTTTTTTAACTTGTGCAGCTCTTATGAGATTTTCTCACGGTTAATTCTGTTTGTTTTTTGTGATCTTCTTGGTAGGACTAATATTCAAATTTACGTATAACAATCTGTTTAATTTTGTTGAAAAGAAAAAGAAAAATAGAGTCTCAAAGCTTATTCGAGCATTAGTGTATATATATATATATATATTTGTTTATTTCATTAATACGTTCTTTTCATCGTTCTTGTGCCCAAAGATGTCAAGTTTTTTTTGTTACAGCAAAAGATGTCATTTGCATTGCCGGTTTGTTGCGTCATTTATATTTAAACAGTTTTTAAATGATATTTTATTTGATAAAAAAATATTATATGTCGATAGTATTTAAATAACTTTTACATTGTTTGATTAAATGCATTAAATAAATATATTATAACAAAAAATTTTGTTAATATTACATCATAATTTTATATCTTTTTTAGGGGCATATTATTTATATAAGACAAAATATATATATTTATTTATCTTTATTTTCTTTTATATTTTTCTTATGTCAAACAACTTAAAATATACTTATTCTTGTATAGTTTCTTTCTATTTGTACCCTTTCTTTCTCAAATCAAATAGATTGTAGGAAAGGGTTGAGATACAAATTTCAAGCTGCAACATTATTTGTGTTGGTCTTAGTTAATAAAAAAAAATATTTGATCAATCGTCAATAGACTTTGAGTGAGAGATATAACTATCTTTGTGATTTTAATTCAAATGTTGTTGCTTCTCTTTGCATAGTTTATCGGCGTTTCTTGGGCTTTAATTAAAAAGATAAATCCTTTTCCTTGTAAAAAAGAAAAAGAGAGACGTAATTAAAATGCAAGAAACCTCCATTAAATATAAATTAGTAATAGGAAACTCTTGTAACTTTAAACTCAACAACTCGATTCCTTGCTTTAACTTAGCAAACCATGCATACCGACACCTTCTTGATATTCGTACAAGATGAATGTTACTGTAATTGCTTGCTGTTGCTCTTCGAATGTGTTATGTTTGCTCCTTCTTAATCTCAATCTTGAAGCCACGAGAGAGAGAGAAACGGGTGAGTACATCTAAAATGTACTTCGATGCTTAATTTAGTGGGTATATGAAGGATGAGATCATAAAGGATAGATCGTCTTTCCTCTTGGGTTCCTTATGGTCACAACTCTATTGTCCTATAGCAATCATACATAACTGTTCAATGTAGGATCCTGTCAGATCATGAAGGCTAATTCTCTATTAGTAAGGAAACCTGTTAATTCTTCCATAAGTTAGGTGTTAGGTTATATATATATATATATATATATATATATATATATATATATATATATATATATATATATATATATGCGTGTGTGTGTTTAAAAAAAGTAATATATTATTCGTCTCTAGTTTACTATTTTTACGATATTTTTACCTATAATATAATTTTTTTATGAAGGTATGATAAAAAAAAGGTACAAATTTATAATACCTTGAAATTTTAAAATAACATATAAATAAAAAAATCCGTCAAAAGTAGCAAAAGAAATAGAGACAGTATTTATAGTACTTAAAAAAAACACCTTTTGATTTGCGTATTTTTTTCACGTAAAACTAAAATTTATTAAAAATTATTAATACTTACAATTTAGTTTGATTTAATCCTTATTACAGACTTCAGGACTTTTAGAGATGAAATGGATAATTTGATTTTTGAAAGACGTTTCAACATTGATAGTATAAATGTTAAAAGTGTCATTTCATTTATTAAGGTTAATTAAAAAATCAGCAATATAATTTTTTAATTAGTTATCAGTAACTTAGATGTTGAAAGGAAAAAAAAATTCTTAGGATGTTTTTAATTAAACAATATGCTGACAAACTTAGATGCCTGTTTACTCAGTAGAAGAAATCTACAATTTTTTTACATTTTTTTCTTTTATGTTTTATGATGTAAATGGGTCGATCAATACATCATAGTTTAATTTTTATAAAAATTATTAACGTCAATTTTTAAAATTAAGTTAATAATAATAATAGTAAAGTTTTATTAAAAATATTTATTATACTTTTACAATTTTTTTTTTTAAAAGAAGCACATTTATGATAAATATATTACTATTTCTAAATAAATCTTAAAAATTAACAAAACTCATTTTTATTATATACGGGTGTAGTTTAAAACATAAAAACAGTACTTTAATTTACTAATTAATCTCTGATACGTGAAATGACAAAGAAGCGTATGGTTTTAATCTTCTTCTTTCACGAACATAACGAGTGAATGAATTAGTAGGTTCTCTTTACGTGTGTGTTTCATTGAAGATTGAGTACAAGAAATAGTTGGCGATTAATGAAGGAGTGATTGGTTGGTGGACGTTCAAGTTGTCTCCGTTTTGGGATTCATTGTTTTGATCAATGATCATATCCATTATAGCAACCAAAGGTGCAGGAAATTAGGTTCATGATGACCACAATCCACAGGACTGCACCCACGTCTTTTATCTGCTTGGAATTGAGGTGTTTTTACTTTTTAGATTAAAAAAAAAAATTAAGTTCACTGTCAAGATCATGTTAGTATTATGGAATTGAAGCCATTCAAATTTGAGTTCATCTTGTACCAGTGGAAAACACGTGTCAAGAAAAAGAATAGAAGAACCATGTACTTGATCCATAGATTCTTTGCAAAATCCGTGTTTCTAGGGGAAAATTTTGCATTTTCTTTGCCTTTTGAAAATGTGCCCAAAAAAATGTGTAAAAATTATATATTTAAATTTTTTTATTAAGAATATAATGAAATAATTTTTTGTTTTAATTATAAAAATTATAAAATAATTTTAAGATATATTAGTTACTACTTTTTATATTATTTTTTTGTTATTAAATATATATTTATTAGGCAACAATACCATTTAATATACAAGTCACGAACTATACTATTTAATATAATAAATATTTTTAAAATAAAAATATATAAAATATAATTAATTTAATTACTTTCTTTTAATTTTAATAATTTAATCTTTTATTTTATATGAGAGAGACCGGAAGGAAGGAGTATCTTTAAACCTCCTGTCTATATAAATTTCAATAAAATTATAAGAACAATACCTTAGTCTAAACTCTTAGTTAATCGGTTTTATTAATGACTACTCAAAAGCTGATTTTAAAATAGCACAAAAAAAGAAGAAGCTGATTTTAAATTCTTAAAAGTATTTTTAATAATATTTATTATATTTTAATTTAATAAATATATTTTTAAAATTTATCGATTTTAATAATTTGAAATTACTTTTAAGAGTTAATTTTAATATTTTCTTAATTTTTTATAAAGTTTTGTAATGTCGTATATGAAAAAAATGCCAAAATATAATATTTAAATATTTACATATGCGTTTATAAAGGTCTAACGGATTGAGGCCCTAACTAATTTTTTCATTCGGCTTCCAATAGCATTCATCGATTGTAGAATTACTTAAGTTTGATTTGGATAAGTTTCTATATAAATTTGATAGAAAAATAAAATAATATAAAAATAAATATATATTTTTTATAAGTTAAAAGTAATATACATTTTTTAATTTTTTGAAAATAATAAAAATTTAAAAAAATATAAGTTAATTTTAACTTATAAAAAAATTATTTATTTTTATTTAATTTTTAGCTTCCCATGATAGATTTATTTAAACTGAATTTTATTATAATTATTTTTTATAAGAACTTACGGCTTTTTAATAAAGTGAATTTGAGAATGAATGAATTGATTAATTAAATTCAATAATTGTAGTTAAAGAAGTTGAGCTCAAATGATTAATAGTGACAATTGAAACGTCATATGCGAGGAAGTTTGGTTAATTGACTTAATTATTTCTCATTTGTCTGAAAATCCACGTCTGTAACATCAAAGAAAAAAATTGGAAAATTAGTGACAAATTAATGACACATAACGCATCGCATAGAATATCACCTTGTTATACTTAAACCAAAAAAAAAGAAAAAGAAAGAAAGAGCATCGGATACTATATTCAGTATTTTAATATTTAAAATATGCTGTTATTTAATACAGGAAGGCAAATCTGAGATCGCCTAATTTTCAAGCGGGTGAGCGAAACGCGACAAATGACAATTCAAGTTATTAATTATTTCCATTGGAATAATTAAATTCCAATGATAGTGCCTCTTTTAGAAAATATTTATTTTAACACATGAAATAGTTCAAATTTTATTTATTTAAATTTATATTAATATTTTGTCTGTAAGAACATGAGGCCTTGTTTGTACAAAATAATCAGTGCCAGTGCTGAAACTGGAGCAGAAGAAAATAAACATTGTGCATCTTCCTCTTCTCTCTCTCTCTCTCTCTCTATACCTTTGAGCTTCCTCCATCACTTCCATGCTCGTCTAGGGTTTCTCTCTGTCTCACTTTGTGCTTCATCTTAATTGCTTTTTTTTTTTTCCTGTGCTGTGGATTCCATCCTTGAAGCGCCCTTGCCGTCAATGTGCTCCCGTTTCTTCGACTTGGATTGCTTGCAGGTGCGGTTTCGGTGTTTTCGATTGCACTCGGTGTGTGAATAGTTTCATTTGTGCTATCTCCGCGTTCTGCGCGTCGCTGATGAACGGTGCTTTATTTTTTTTTCACATTCTTATCCAATGCGTTGCTTTGTCTGAATCTGTTGACTGAGTTTTCTACCTTTTTCTTTTTGCGGTTACGGAACTTCACTTTGTAGAAGATGAAGCTGCTGCTTTATGGATAGTACAAACTGCATTTCATATATATATATATATATATATATATATATATATTCTGGTTTTTTTTCCCTGAAATTTTGTATCACCTTGCGCCGATTTTATTGAAAAAATTTGGATATAGCTGATTTGTTTGATTTAAAAATTTGATTTAATTTATCTATTTGAGTCACCTTCATTTCTGTGTGTGTGTTGGAGGAATGTCGATCCTTAAATTGGTTCACATTCCTTCCGGAACTTTTAAGTTAATTGGATGAAGTGGCAGGCGTGGTAACATGAACGATAACTGGAACTGGCTTACGATTATGGTTTGGCTTTCATCCGATCTGTTGGTTTTGCTGATTGGTGAAGTCTTTGAAAATTTAAATGATAAGAAAATAGTTCTGTTCCACTTCAAGCCTTCACTGCGTCCTGTTTTTAATTGGATGTTGGTTTTATATATAGCAGAATCAACAAGGGGAATTTCTGTGCTTGATATTAGTTAGATCCTGTGCTTAAATGCGTTTTAGAAATGTATTCGGCAGGCTATCGTGATCAAATGTTTAACTCAACTTTGAAAATTCTGTTATTTAGCTCTTAATTTGTCTCTAGTTACTCTTCTTTAGGTTTATTAAATAACTGAATAGTTAAAATTATTTTATTTTATGGGTTAGATTATCTTGCATTCTCTCATCTTTACAATGATTTCAGAGAGTACCAAACTGTTGAAAGGAAAAGAAAATAATTTTTGCAGTAAGTTACTGTTCCACGTACAATTTGATGTGTTCATTGTAGTTGACACTTGCCCTGCAAGTGAGTTGCTTATGGCATTACTGGTTTTGGATCTTCTCTTACAGTTTCGAATCTTTGGTCATGTCTTTTTTTTTGTTTTCATCGGATTTCTTTTTCTTTTTTCTTTTCTGCCAATCCGTGTCCTTTCATGTTTCTTATTACTATAATTTGCAATTTTTATATTTCCCCTTGGTTTGCTGATGCATTCAAATGTTGACCATTGCATCAGGGTTTCAATGTCACGTAGCTGGTAAAAATGTGGATATACCACTCAGACTACAAGGAACACATATCAAATTGATTTATTGAAAGAATGGTTTGGACTCTGAATGGGTTTCCTTGAGTTGTGAGTATATTGCATCTGATACACTCCGTGTGAAATAAAGTAGAACGGGCTTTTGCATTGACAGTTAAACAGTTTGTTACTTCTACCAAGATACCACCCCAAATTGAGTGGTTCAATTTATCTCTAATGGGTTCATTCTCTGGCACTTGTGAAATTGTTGAAGCAAGGGAAGACCTAAATAGAGAGAAAGATGCAGGGATATATCAGTCCAATTCTGGATCTAACATGACTGGGAAAAATGAGAGACTTTCTGTACTGAAACTGGGACACAAGGATAATCTTGATGAAGATATTAATAAGCTGTTTGAATCAATTACTCTTAAATCTTCATCAAGGGATTTGAGTTTCTTACAAGATGGTACAAGCCCTAAGATGAAAAGTGCATTGAAAAAGCCAATCACAGTGGGTGTTTCTCGTTCCCCACGAGTTGGAACTTCTGAGCCTGTGACTTTGAAGCAGGCATTAAGAGACCTATGTATATCTAAGGCATCAGAAATGGCAGCAATGAAAAGATTATCAAAGTCAACTGCTTCTCCGAGAATATCTGAGGTTGGGAAGATACAGACATTGTACAATTCAGTTGTAGCTGAGGGTAGAAGATCTGGACCTTCTAATGTTGAGAGGAAGGAGAGTACGATTGAAATATCTCTAGTGCCAGAAGAAAGCACATCACTTTCCTTGGATAGAATTTCCCACTCTCATCAAACTACTAAAAGCACATCACTGAGCCAAAATATTCAATCTTCCAAAATTGCTGTTGGAACTACACAAAATGATTCTGGGGCTTCATTGATGCAAAGTGACTTGGCTTGTTTGTCAAGTAAAGTTGGGGTTCCATCACAGCCATTGGAGCCTGCTCAAATAGAAAAACAAACATCTACATCTTCTCCATCTAGTTGTAAGGCCAATGGAAGTAAATTAGAGTTTCCTGAACCAGCAATTGATTCTTCCACTAAAAAATCAGCAAATAAAGCATCTGTGTCAAAGAATGGACGGAAAGGTAGGTTACAAACAGTATCTTCCTCATCTACTTCAGTGAATGGCAATAGAGTGTGCAAACTGTCACGCAATTCCCCCCGTACAGTCAAATCAGTTATCAAGAACAAGAATTTGGGTAAGAAGAAACCAAAGCAGGATTCAGTTTCTGCTTTTTTTGATCCTACATCCAATGAAGTAAATAGCAAGTCAGTTCCTGATACAACTCAACTTGTTTGTGAGAGATGTTGGTGTGCCATAGAAAACAACAAAGGTATTACACCGTTGGACTCTATTAGTCCTGGGGAAGGAATAAACTTGAGTAATGTGCACTCTGGCTCAGCTTCAGCTGACTGTAATAGCAGCAGAGTAGTTAGAAAAGTGAAAAAGAACACTATATTGAAAGAGCAAATTGAATTGTCACAAAGTTCAAAGAGTAGCCAAGGTGACTACAGTAGTAGTACAAGTACGAGTGATGAGAGTAATGTCAGTGGGTCTAGTTGTGGCAATAGGCCTCACATGTCAAAGGATTTTAGATGGGAAGCCATACGACATGCTCAAATGCAGCATGGAGTCTTGGGCTTGAGACACTTCAATCTTTTGAGGAAGCTAGGTTGTGGAGACATTGGGACTGTATATCTTGCTGAACTAATTGGCAAAAATTGTTTGTTTGCTATTAAGGTGATGGACAACGAATTTTTGGCAAGAAGGAAGAAGATGCCCAGAGCTCAAACTGAAAGAGAAATATTAAGGATGCTGGATCATCCTTTTCTTCCAACACTATATGCACAGTTTACATCAGATAATTTGTCATGTCTGGTTATGGAGTATTGTCCAGGTGGTGATCTGCATGTTCTACGGCAGAAACAACTTGGCAGAAGTTTTTCAGAGGCAGCAGCAAGGTACTTAACAAGAAAATCAGTCCAGTAAATATATTAGGATTTTCTTCAATATATGCTTTGTTACTGCATTATGCAAAAAATGATTCTGTGAATTTTAAAATGCTGCATTAAGGATATAAATATGGGCTGCTGTGGCTTGTATAACAATAAAATCTGTTTTTAACTTGTAAATCCTGAAGCTTTGAAATAGTTTGTTTCACTGTAATTGTGCTTCAGGATTACTTGGTTAAGTATACACTCACTCTTTATGGATAGGCATTTCTTTCCTATTATAAAATTGATCAGAATAGAAAAATTTAGACAATGAAATCCTGTCAGTGACACTGGTACTGATGGATGATGTTTTTTAAGGAAAATATATCATGTTACTGTTGCTGTCTCCCTGATTTGCTGTCATGCAGCTCATTTGTGTGAGTCATATTGCAATTGCAACCTTTTTTTTGTCCATGCTTCTGCCAAAAATGTACACTTCCACCTCTATTTACCTACTAAACAACTAGCATCTCAATAACACTGCACCCTGATTTTTTAATCCTTGCAGCATTCACTGCTAGCTAGTGCAATCTATTCTTTGTTTAGTATTGACAAGTAGGTTTATTCAATTATTAATTAAAATTTGGTAATAATTACTTCTTCCTGCACCATGGTGAAAGAGCGCTTTGGTAATTAGTTGTTATTGGAACTTCCATAAATACATCAACTATCAACTAGGCGTCTGCTTTCTGGTGTCAGTTTTTGCTGCCAACTTATAAATATATGTGGGTGGGTTTGGGCAGTGTCCATGAAGCATAGCACCAGGGTATGACATTGTTTTTGCAGAGTGCATTGGTTGCCCGTTGAAATGGTGAAATTACTTTTTGTTTTGTTGTCTGTTTTTTTCCCCAATGATACTTGATTACGTTAAATACAGGTCTAGTTTGGATAAACTTATCAATAAATACTTATAGGAGAAGAAAATATAGAGGTAAAATGAATTAAAAAAATTTCATAAGTTAAAATTAATTTATACACTTTAGCTTTTTTGGAAATTCTCTCGCTTACCTTATCTGAGGTGTATAATTTGATTTTAACTTTTAAGAGAAGCTTGATTTTATTTTACTTGTCTATATTCTTATATGCACTAATCAAGAAATTTATTCAAACTGGGTCATAGTATTTATATAGAAAGGTCTTATATGTGTAATGAAACCTGCATGAATTAAGGTCGATGAATAAATTTTCATTTTATTAAGAAGGATCAGAGTAGAAATTAGAAGTGTTTGTTTATTTTATGAACATGCTTATAGTCTAATGAAATATAACTTGCATCAACTATCAGTATCTTGATATTATTTATCATTATCCATTTTCTACAGAGATTTTTTTTTCTCACCATTTTGTTTTATTTAAAATCTGTATTTCTGTCTGCATATATATGAAACTTGTCAAAGTATTATTCCGCTGCCTTTCATGGAAAAGATTAAGATAATTAAAAAGAATTAGAACAAATAATTTAGTTTTAAAAAATACAATCTGTCAAAACTATTTGATTGAAATTATGTGCATTGCATAGGGGTGCCGTTAGGCTTGATTTTTAATAATCACCCTTATATATGCGTGCAATTTTTCACCAAATATATCGTACGAATTAAGGGGCAAATTGCTTTGTAGCTACCATAATTGAATGGGCTTTCTGATCAGCAATTTTGTTAGTTTAAGCCAACCTTGTTTACCACATGCAAACCAATACTGTAAATTGATTTTCTATTAACCAGAACCTTTGGACATGCAGGTTTTATGTTGCTGAAGTCCTTCTTGCTTTGGAGTACTTGCACATGCTTGGAGTGGTTTACCGTGATTTAAAACCTGAAAACATTCTTGTTCGAGAAGATGGCCACATTATGCTTACAGATTTTGACCTGTCTCTGAGGTGTGATGTTAGCCCAACGCTTCTGAAATCATCTTCCGATGTGGATCCTGCTAAGATTTCTGGTCCTTGTGCACAATCGAGTTGCATTGAACCATTCTGCATTGAACCATCCTGTCAAGTTCCATGTTTCAGCCCTAGATTCTTACCTCCTGCTGCAAGAACAAGGAAACTAAAAGCTGATCTTGCTACTCAGATCAGATCGTTGCCACAGCTTGTGGCTGAGCCCACGGATGCAAGATCAAATTCATTTGTTGGTACTCATGAATACTTGGCGCCTGAGATCATCAAAGGTGAGGGACATGGAGCTGCAGTTGACTGGTGGACATTTGGTGTTTTTCTTTATGAGCTTTTATATGGTAGAACACCCTTTAAAGGTTCTAATAATGAAGAAACACTAGCCAACGTGGTGTTGCAAAGTTTCAGATTCCCGGACACCCCATTCGTCAGTTTCCAAGCAAGGGATCTTATTCGAGGGTTGTTGGTTAAAGAACCTGAAAACCGGTTGGGTTCAGAGAAAGGAGCTGCAGAGATAAAACAGCATCCCTTCTTCGAGGGCCTTAATTGGGCCTTGATCCGTTGTGCTATCCCACCAGAACTTCCAGACTTTGAGTTTGGATTTTCAGAAATGACGTCGCAGTCACAGGGACAAGGCAGTAAATATTTGGGCTGTAGTGCAACAGGAGAGCAAGTGGAATTTGAGTTGTTTTAAAGAGTGCTCTTTGGTAAGAGTTGCATTCTTGTTACGTGTTCCCTTGTTTTCGGCTCCATGCTTCACCGGGTCGAGCTGCAACAACTATGTAAGCCTATGTTGTAAATTAGTTTCGATTATAACACGGTAAAATGTGCCTTCTGTGGTATAAAAAGTTCAGGTTACACGGTAACTTGATAAGTCGCAATTTAAAAGAAAATGAATTTAAGTAAATTTGTAGTGTACCGTAAACTCAACTCATAAATTTGTAAAAGTTTACTTCCTGAAAAAAATATTGAGAAAAAAAATTCAAATAGTTAAATTACAGAATACTCTAAGTCATAAAACAGGTTAAAATTATAGATATAGGATCAAATGATAAAATTTTAAGGTCATAATATACAAGTTGATGAAGTGAATAACTAAAAATTCTCAACAAAAGAAATAAATAAGTCAAGATCTTCAAATCTTCAAGCTTTCAACATTATCATTTCAATATTAGAATCTAGGACTAAGTTTTTCATGTCTTAGTTGGATTGTTTTGCATTTTCAACTTCTTTAACATTGTTATCTTTAGATTGTTGTGCAAATTAAGCAATATTTTTTACTACTAACTCATAAGTTATCTATTTATCATTATATTGAATATCATTAAAATAATTTTTTTAATGTTTAGTTTTTAACTTTGTGTTGTATATTACATAAACCAAGTCATTCATTTTTTTATGCAATTAATATCTTCTCGTTGTATAAACTTTTAAATAAATAATACAATGTCCAAAATTAGTTTATTAGTCAATATTTTAAACATAAAAAAGTTGAAAATTATATAAAATAATCATAACTTTATTCATCATTTCAAATGAACTTCAATTTTGCTCACGTCCAGAAAAATTATAAGTCAAATTAAAAATACAAATTGCAAATCTTTTTAATTATAGACATTCATTTAATTAGAAGTTCCACCATATTCGTGGCATAATCGTCTTATTTAACATTGCATCACCAAAATCAAATAGACCTTAAGTATAATGAAATTTAAGAAGTTATTATAAATCTTATTTCTCATAGTTAGGTGATCTACCATTCTTGCCAAATAATTATATAAATATTGTTTAACTTCAAAAACATCACCTCTAAATTCTAGGATCATAATTAAAAATTGAGATTGAGGTAACTAGTTATTTCACATTTCATCAATGATTTTTCATATTGGTTCATTAAAAGAAACTTTTAAATTGGAAAAAAAAAGTGAAAAGATAATAGTTGGATAATTGTTTTTTGATTTATTTATTTTTAATTTTAGATATTTTTATATCATAATTTTTTTATACTATACATAAATTTTGGTTATGTATCTAAAAAATCAAATAAAAAATTAACTTTACTCCTTAAATTAAATTTAAATAATTAAAGCATAAACATTAAAATAATTAGACGATTAAATCAATTGATCAAACAAGTGGTTAAAAAATTTGACCAAAATAAAATAAAATAAGAATCAATATAAAAGTTGGTTTAGATTGAACAAGTTATAAGAAATTAATTTTTTCTTTTTATTTATGTTTTGAAAATTTTAATTTTAAAAATTTAAATAAATAAAAAGTCATGTGATTTATACGTGTAAATCATTATTGTTTATTTATTTTTCTATTTGTTATCTTATAAAATATGTAATATAATTATTTTATATTAATTTAATTTTTATTAATTTTTTAAATTTATTGCTTAATATATTATATAATCTTAAAAATATATATTTCATTATTATTAGTTTTACTTAAATTTAATTAAGGGTGAACCAATCAACCATTAATTAATATTTTTATAAGCTTAACAACTATTTTAATTTTAAAAATAATAACATCAATATAATAAGTTTGTTGTAAATATCATATTTTTATATCTCAAATCTATTAAAGATTGTTACTGAAACAAAATATAAATTTTATTTATGTAAACTCAATTTAAAAACTTTAACTAATAAAATTTTAAATAATAATACAAATAAATTTAAATTCTCTTATTTATTATGTTTATAATTTTTAATTATTAAAGAAAATAATTCTTAAAATTTTCGATATATTTTAAAGATGATAAATATTCTTTAAAAATATTAATATGATTTTTATTTAATATTATTTTATAAAGTGGCAATAAGGTTATTAAAAAAACATAATATGATATGACAACACTAATAATAATTAGAGAAATAAATGAAATTCTATAAAAGCAAAGCCACTGAGCAGGCTGCAAGCAATTAGCAGCTTACGCTCCTTAGAGCAGTTTTTATTTTACCTTGATTTTTACTAGAAGTTTAGGACGCAGCAATGTCAGAAGCCACAAAAGCAAGGGTAGTTGTGTGCATAGGCGACATCCATGGCTACGTGACGAAGCTGAAAAATCTTTGGTCGAACATCGAAAAGAGCATCGACCCCTCCCAATTCGAAACCGCCACCATAATCTTCTTGGGCGATTACTGCGACAGAGGCCCAGACACTCGCCACGTCATCGATTTCCTCATCGCGTTGCCGTCCCTCTACCCCCGCCAGAAACACGTGTTCCTAGCCGGCAACCACGACCTCGCCTTCGCTGCCTTCCTCCGCCTCCTCCCTCCACCGCCGGACGGCTCCCCCTTCTCGGATGGATGGAAGGAGTACGAAGCGAGCGAGGAACGCGAAGGGTGGTACAAGGGAGAAGGGTATGAGAATATGTATCTGCAAGGTCGAAGGTGGAGTGGTATCATCAAGGTCAAGTTTAACACTGCTAAGGGATTGGACTATCAGGGTTCCATTTACGACGCTGAACCTACCTTTCTCTCCTATGGAGTTCCTCATGGTTCTCCTGGTTCGCTCTTCTTCCTTCCTTTACCTACTAAATTCCTTTTCTTTTCTTTTTTTCCCTTTTAATATTAATTTGATGATAAAGTAACAGTTTTGTTAATCTGAAACCTCATTTTAATTTTTATCTAAAAAATAATATTTATTTAATTTTTTTTATTATCGATATAATTAGCGTTTTTTCCCCCTAATAAATGCCGATATAATTAGTTTTTATAATTGAAATTTATTTACTTATGAAATAGTCCCCTGTTTAAAAATTTTACGGTCTTCATACGATATTTTGTTACATTTTAATTTTGTTGACTGCCATTATTCAAGATTAAAATATAAATTTTTTAAATATAAGAACTAATTTATAAATAAATATTAACTGTATTTTAACCTATTAATTAGAAACATTTAATAGAGTATAGTTGATGTGTTATAACTTATGGCTTGGACCATGGTGTTTGGATTTTGTTAACAATTATGTTACAATAAACTCTAGTTCGTGGTAAATCCTATGCATATCTGCGGTTGAAATTTGTAGTAGTTAATATAGTATTTTGGTTTGTATTTGCTGGTTGTTAACAGTGAACGTCTATATAAATTGGTCTAAGTATCAACTTGCTAGTAAGTTTAGCCTATCAAGTTGACAATTTATAATAACCTGTATGTATGTTTATAATTTTAAATTAGAACTATACTTTGACACACTTTCTGTTATATGTACATTTTTTAAAATGTCAATACTCAATACTTAGCTTTAAAGAGTGACTTATTTACAAGACAACTAAATTTACATTTTGGAAAATAAACGAGTAATGGAGTGTATATTCAAGAATGTGTGACAAAAAGTGTGTTGATGATATTCTTTTCAAATTTTAGTTGAATCTGGAACGCTACTTTTTTGTTAATCTTGGTATTTTGATGTGTTTAGGTTTTTGAATAGAAATGAGGAAAACGTTGAGGTGTTGGTAAAATTTGCTTGTTTTATGGATTCGGCCTTTCTGCTAGTTTAGTCAGTAACTTAGAATGTGTGATTAATATGATTATATGACTACAGGTTCTCTGTGAATGGCATAGTTGAATTAATTTTATATAGCATAGGGATTATTGGTGATACAAAATTATAAATGAATACAAATACTCTACAAGTTTGTTCTTGAAAATTGAGTGCTGTTAATTCCTGGACTGAAGGGGCAGTTCACTGCATGCAGATTTGGTTAAGGCAGTTCCTGATGAGCATAAGAAATTTCTTGCTGATTTGATTTGGGTCCATGAAGAGGTGGGGCTTCCTATCTTTGCCTCTTTGTATCAGTAGTCATAATGAATGAAATAGATTTACTAGGACGGCAATCCTTGTTTCTTTTGTGAGCTGATGTGAATCAAATGAACAACTGCTGAAAGTTCTCCGGTTCATGTTTTACTAGGATGATGTCTTTATCGACACTGATGGTGGAGTTAAATGCTGCAAGTTGATTGCTGTTCATGCTGGTTTGGTGAAAGGATCAGATGTGAAAGAGCAGTTAAAACTTTTGAAAGCTCGGGATACACGGGTGCCTAAGGTGGAGGCTCTAAGTGGGAGAAAGAGTGTGTGGGATATTCCTGAGGTGATAGCTTGCTACGTATTATTATTACTTTGTGTCTTTTTTATAAGAAATAAATGACTGATTTATCAAGACCAGTAAAAACAGTTACATGTTTTTTAATGGTCCTTCGGTTCATTAATACATCTTAAAATTGTACTAAGTATTTTCTAATTAAGACCAAAAAAAAAACTAGCATTTTTTTTCTATAGAAAGGACCAGAAAAAGTAGAATACTACTATAACATCATGAGTTTAAATAGGGACTAATTTCAGAAAGCATAAGTTTTTAGGGACTAAAAACATTATTGTCATTCTTGTTACTCTTGTAGATTCTTCAAATAAATTGGCTTGCTGTTTTATTGTAGGAACTAAGTGCGAGTCCAACCATCGTTGTAAGTGGTCACCATGCAAAACTCCATATAGAAGGCTTAAGGCTGGTCATTGATGAAAGTGGTGGATATTCTGATAAACCAGTGGCTGCAATTGTTCTTCCTACAAAGAAGATTATTCGTGATACAGAAACACAAGCATTAACAGAATAGTTTCATATTTGTGATAGTTTTGCCTGTATACGGTGTAGTCATGCTGTCAGAAACTATTTTGATCTCACCATGAGAGATATTAGGATGGTAATCCTTGTATTCTGATTTTCAATAAAGCATTGCACTATTCCCTTCATCAATGCTATGGATCTGAATCCCTCACCTTGAAGTGACAAGTGCAGTTTCAGTAACTATTTGAGTTTGACATGTTGGATAGTATCCACTTTGATGTACTAAATAAATAAGATCAACATCAATAGTGTAGTGAATCCCTTGCAGAAGCAAAAAAAATCAAATCAAACCGTGACTGTATGTTTGGTTAAATAGAAAGAAAATGAGGAATTAGAAAAAAAAAATTGAATTGGAGAGAAATCAAGATAGAAAATTTTGAAAATTTGTTTTTAAGAGTTAACTTTTATCTCTTTTTTCTTTTTTCTTTTCTGCTAAAGAAAAAAATGTATTGATATTTATTTAATTCTATTTTCTTTCTTATTCAAATGAAACATGAAGGTCAGTTTCTGGAATTAAGGTGACAACCTCATGATGGTATAGATGCTTTATCTCACTAGAAACAACTACGCAGCAACATTTACTTGTAATGCTCTATGTACAGCGTGTGGTAGCATGATAACGTCCAGCTATTGTACGTGTCTTACTTGGCAGTTATGTGCAAGAATATACAAGATTTCAAAGAAGTTTCTGAGGTGCTAAACTAAAAGAGTTGTAGCAATCGAAGCATTTTATGCTGTGCTAATAATGTATGGATTGGTTCCAAAAGAAAGACATGACCGTGCTAACATGCGCTAACCGCAAAATGATAGTACTCTTGACCTCTTTTCATTAATGGCATGCCCAGTTTGATAGTGATTTGACTCATCTGGAAGCACTAATCAACTCGTACATTATTCATAGATGTTTGTTTCCTATTCGTTATGAGGTGAACAAGTAGTAAATTTGGTTATTCCCTCAATTGGGAGGAATCAATCTATTCTCTATAATCAGATATCATGCCAAAGTTGAATGTGTATCTGTATTAGTCGACATACATGTCCTAGAAATCTCCAAATTCAGCCATAGGTTACCAAACAAAAAAAAGGGTCTTGTTAACTAGTGTTCTAAACAATTAGAAGTAGAAAGTTTTTATTGATTAGACAAAAAAATTATTTTAGTTCCTTAAACAATGTCTTCTCAACTGGGTAGCATTTGTCATAAAAAAAGCTCCCAAAGTACACCAACTCTGGGCACAAGTTCCCGAAGTACACAAACACTGCACTTGCCGTAGCTCCACATTCCCATTTCTTGGACGCGCACCCTCTCCATTGCCAGTGCACAATTTCAACGACACATGGTAGAATTGATTTTAATCTATTATATAATTTTTATTATATAATGACTATTATAAAATTATTATTTTTTATTAGATCTTAAATTAAGTTGTTCTCACAACACAATACATGATTCTCATACAATTAAGGGTTTAGAGAACATTAACCTAAATCTATTGTTTCTAGATATTATTTCTTTTTTTGATGTCGTTGATTCCTTATATTTTCTTCAACTTTTCCTTACTCGTGTACCATGAACTCATTCAGAAACAGTAAAAGTGAAAAATAGGGAATACCGTAACTCTCATTTAGTAACAACTCTTTAAAATATATGAAAGAAGAGGAGAAAGTTTCCTTATAACTGTATTTACAATTATACACTAATAACTCTATATTTTGTATTTAACCACCATCACATTAAATCATTAATTAGAGTCATGCTATAAGTTACATAGCCTACTATAATAAAATAATCTAATAATTTCTCTATCGAAGCAAATAACATGCCAACAAAACAATATCTCATAATTATGATGCGAGTGTATTTGTGCACAACATAAAGGCTAATGTTGCCACCCCTTGTGCCTCCCCTCTCTTACACTCTGTCCCCGTTATTACCTTTGTCACCAAATAAAAGAAGAAAATAATATGTGTGATATAAATTTAAAATTGGAAGGGCCAAGGTTAAGTATCTAATATTAGCAAGATTTTATATATAAAAAAGTATTTATTATACTTATTTTAAATGTTTAAACTCAAACTTAAAGACTATGTTATCAAAAACCTTTAAAATCCAGTACCAAAATTTACAAAATAATAATCATAAATTTAATTTTTAAACTTAGCTTATCAAAATAAGAATATTCATAAAGCAAAGATAAACTTAAATTTGTAAATTTATCTAACTTTAATTAACAGAAGTTAACTTCTATTTTTATCATATTTTTCTTTCGTTTTTCTATATCGTTTAACTAAATATACTGTAAATGAATCTATTATATGTGGTCGCTATGAGCACTAACGGGGCTCATTGTTGACCATTTATTTGTTTTGCCAATTAATCACCTGTCATCATACAAACTTTTTTATTCTTGAATACTCACGCCATTTGCATTTTTTTTCTTTTGTTTTGATAATTTGTTCTAAATCACTAACTCTATTATTTATTAATATAAAATTAATGTCACAATTGTTTTACATATAAGAGTGAGTATCCTCTCAGTTAAGGGATACAGAGATTTTATCTTTTTTATTTTATTTTTTTGTGTTTTGGTCGTGAAATGGTCGAACTGAATATTGTAGCCAAATACTGGTAAGTCCTTTTCTTGGTCCACTGAAATACACAGAAAGGCAACAGAAAGGGCCCAAAGTCTCTACTTGTATACGATTTTTGGGGTCCAGACTGAAGTAATATTTTGACCAAAACAAAAAGACAATTTTTTCTGCCTAAACAGAGCAACTTGTTAGCCCTATAAAACATATATTGGGGCCTGCAATAGAAGTGGTGATTGGCTGCTCTTTGAATTGTGTGTGGGTCAACTTATACTGATTTGTTGGTAATGTATTTCCTTGTTGTCAACAACATCAGGTCCAAAAGATTTTGATCAAAATACAAACCCATTGACACTTAAAAATTGGGTTCAACCTCACTGGGAATAATAACGTCAACAAAGCCTGAAATATTGAAATTAGTTGTCAAATTACCTGGTTTAATTTTTTTATTCAGTATTTAAAGTATTTCAAAAACAAAAAGTATGATTAATTAACTATTGGATAATAAAATATATAAATCCACTTTTTAAATAATATAACGAAATTATTTGAATATTGTTCTTTTATTTCAAGAAACTGCTTCCTGACATACTTTCGGCCTTTGGGCTTTGGTTTTAATTTGGGCACAGATATTCGTAGATCATGAGCTCCAATTAGTAATTTTATCATTGCTAAAAAAAGTTAATTTTATTAAATAAAATTAGCTAAAAGCACCAGTTAACTGTTAACAATTCTATCTAGCTTATCATCTATTTGTTTTATCTAGTATCTATTATTTTAAGTGCTGTTGTTACTGTGTACTAATTATATTAAAATTTTACCTTAATAAGTTGTAATATTAAATATAAATATTAAAAAAAATAAAACTTTAATTTCAATGCATGAACAGTGGCACATAAATTTTATCATTCAAGGAAAGCGACGTAACGTCAAGGCCAGTCGGCGAAGGCTTAAATTCTATCGAGCTCTCTCGTTGACTACAATTTATTGAAGATTAAGTCAAATTGAACTGAAAAAGAAGTAAAAGCAAATAAACTATTCCCCTTTTTAAAAGTTATTCTTAACTTTCGTAAAAGTTAAAGAAAGAAACAGGATATACTTAATTAGCAATTTAGCAAAATTCAATTCGTCAAAGGAAATTTCTTCTGCTATATCAAGAAACCAAGGACTAAAAATTAATATTAATATTAATATTACGTATAATTAATTTTTTTATTTTTTTATAGATGAAATTTAGACATCACATCTTAAGTATTCTTAGCATTATTTTTTATTTTGGAATAATATTTTAATTAAAACTAAAATCGTAATTCACAGTGTGATCCAGCTTGCCATAAACTAGAAAATGGCGTAACATAACATGAATTACTCAATCTGAGACAAATTTTCATTATGCATACAAACAATAATAACAAGTTGCGTTGATGATTGTCAGTTGTAAAGGATCTTGTCTGGTAATTAGGCTCCATGAAGAAGCCTCCACGATGTTTACTTCAATTATTCCTCACACAAAGCTCAACATAGGATTCGACCATAATCCCTATTTATATATTCATCTTTGCGTAGAAAATCTACAAAGCCAAGTGCATGTTTATTTTTTAGGCTTCAACCAAACGACGGTGTATACAAACACTCGAAATATTCAGTATGGTGCAACATGCCGATGCGACATGGCTCATAAGTTATTGTATGCTCCAAATACTTGTTATTTGTAAATAAAATCCCACATGAATTTGCATATATGTGGAGAATCTACACACCTCGTTTCCATGTCTTGAGGTTGATTTGTCAGAAAATATATCCACAACAATTTCAAGACTACATAAAGAGAACTTAGCGTCGTTTTCACAATATAAAAAGCCTACGAGATGATTTTGTGTGCACTTCTGTCTTCCTAAATGCTTTTAAAAAATATGTAGAAAGATTTTCGTGTCTGCTTCGAGAGTGACCTAATTTCGATGTATCATATATAAGCTGTCGTATTCGTCCTTTGTACCATTCCAAGTCTCCAAGTGTAGTTGAATAAAATGTTTGACCAAAGCCTATAAAAAACCCATCATTTCCCATTCTTCCACGCATAGGTAATAGCCTTAAATAGGACAAATTCTAACTTAAAAAAACCATTTAAAATTAATTTTAAATCATTGGAGCAAATTACTCTATGTTCTATATATGTAATGTTTTCGTTAAACAATACAATTTTCAAGTGCATAATAAAGTTTAGTCTTCACAAATCCTTTGTAAAAGCACATCTTAGTTATAACAACATCATGAAATATTTTCATCACTGTGACATTTACTGATTTACCACAAGTCTACTAAAACCGGTGAAAAATATATCATAATAAATACAAATCTTGTTTTCTTCTGCAACATACTATATATCACACTAACAATAACTTCTGTGAAAAACTTTGATCACATTTTTAATTTAAAGGAGAATATGGAAAGTATTTAATTTTTGGGTCAACGACAGAAAAGTTTGATGAGGGCAGTGTGTGCATGCATTGCACCTGAGGAGGGAGAGAGGAATCCTATGTAGTGACGAGGATGTGCCACGTCATGGTTGAGGGGACAAACATGAGAACGGCTCTGACACGTGTACGTGGTCCATTCCTTAATGCACACGTGGGAAATGTACGCTCTGCATTGGCTGCATTATGTG